TGAAAAACTGCACTGGATGCCTTTAAGTAAAACTGAAGCAGAAAATTGAATTACAATTTATCTACAAATTAACAAATGGGTAATTAAATATGTCTAGCCCAATGGGACAACCATTTGATGAAATACATGAATATTTAATGGCCAGCATCCTGTATCCCTGTTCTTTATCAAGCTCTGGAACCATAAATCATGTGATCCCACGAGCAAAGAGATTTCCGATAGTGCCTGAGCTTTATCGGAATGATCAGGTTTTTGTCACAAAAGAACGATTAATATTGTCCGGAAAAACTTCCTGTTACAAAGAATCATTCTATTATGTTTGGATAGGCTTATTGGCAGGAGGAAAAGAGAATGTCCGTTCTTAAATTTATAATGGAGGGTTTTCAATGTGCATTTCATGCTGTAGCTACATTTTGTATGATGTTACCTGAGTGTATTCTGCCTAATGGTATATTACACCAGATTTGTTCAGTTTTAGCTGTACAGAGAATTGTTCCCAGATGTACAAAGTCATGTAATCCACTGTAATCTGGGGCATTCCCCTTCTTTTAGACTTTGTTACACAAACTTACCTACTTAAATAATTATATACTTACTTACATTATGAAAATAACTACTAAATAAGTATTAAGTACATGTAGGAGTACTTGGTGAGCTCAACACACATGGCACTTGTTTTTCCCCTGTGACAGGAACTGATCTGTTAAATCAGATTTGCATCAGCTGACTTTTATTACCTCCGGGGGAGGAGACATCCTTCCGCAGGAAGGGTATTAGAACGATTTGAAATTTTTATGTTCGCAGCTGTTTCTTGCATTGGGTTGGACGGATTTTTTGGGTACTCAGTATACGTTTTGTTATTGGGCTGTAGATGATGCACGTTCTTTTGCTTTTGTTGTATTTGTGTTTTCGGGCGTGAAAATTAAGACTTTGGCTGCACTCGGACACCCCTTTGACCCTGAAAATGGTCTCGCGCGATGACCTTTGGTGTGTCAAAGACATTATCGGTTTGGTCCACGTGCCGTATGCTTCGCACAGTGGGGTGTTCGGTTTCGATAAATTCTTTGTTTAAAAATATGCACCAAAACGCTGTTTTCCACGGCTGCATAGCCCAATTTAGTGAAAATATGCACAATTCAAAGAACCTTTGGTGAAAATATGTATTTCTTTTCGGATTTATGGTGTCTTTTGAGCTCGATCCCGGAACCCGGAAGTGTTGAAACTCCATGAAACTCCATGTATCAATGTAAGTGATGACTGACATAATCAAATGGCAATCATGCAAATCTGGCTGTAATTTTCATAATTAATGAGGAAATTCTTATGGCAAACTTATGGCATATTATGTTCAAACTTATGGCATATATAATTGAGAACGAGAAGAACATCAGCAGATATTGATTATGTAAATGAAGACCTACTTTGCATAATTAATGAAAAAATGCTAATAATTTCATAATTGGGTGCCCATCGGACGATTTTTCATGCACTTGAACTCCAGTTCCCAGTCCCAGAATTCTGCAGAATTCTGCAGAATTGGGTTAATTCCCAAGGGGTCACCGATGGCTACAACATATTTCTTACATCATTTTTACCTATATCTTAGAATATTAGCCCATCTAGACGTAAGGTTACTGAGATATGGGAATTAGTCTGGAATTAAACCCAGGAATTCCGGAATTAAACTGGGCACTGTTTTTCGCATTTTCTTGGGACCGTCTACACATGGTTCATGAGCAATAAGTTAGTGTGGGTGAGAGATGACACTGGGTATAGTAGTATATTGTTTGGGGTGAGTTGTCTGTGGGTTAATGTGTACTATGCTTGAATGTCCAGAACAGAGCACTAGGTTGACAGCATGTTGCTAATAATAATAATAATTGTAATTAGTGGGGAAAGAGAAGGAAAGTGACAGGAGCTCAAAGGTCAGACACAGAAAATGGGGTGAACTTGAAGGTCTCAGAATCTGGCCAGCTACAGGAGCTATCAGAAATATGAGGTCAACATATGGGGGAATTCGGGAGGATTGTATACTAGTAAGCAACCCCTCAACACTGCAGTCAGTTTCTGTCCTAGTCCCATTTAACAATCTCCTTGGTTGGGCCCAAATACCAAAATACGATAATTCTGAAAGTCTGAAACCTCCAATTTGAATGGTTATGAATTGGAAGCATGGAAAGTTGGCACGAAGTCATTAATCTCTGGGCTGTTCCAGGTGGCCTACTGGGATTCATTACTCTGTAATTCTGATCAGGCCTCAGTTTGTCTGGAATTGCAAATCCCAGTAAGCCTTTTGCCAGAATAGTGATGGATGACTTCATATAGCCACTGAAATTAGTCCTGGTTACTATCCAAACCTGTCATCATCTATTGGTCATGTTTAGGTTCCATTACACCTGATTGAGACCATTTATGCCAAAACTGATTGGCAAACTGTCTGACTATATATAAAAGCCTATTTCGAGCTCATTGGACAGTCACTGGTCAATTGCAGACTGCTAGACCCAAAAGGTGTCTGTTTTGCCAAAAATGATTCGTTAGTTCCATACTAGTATCTGTTAAGTGCTATATGAGCTTATTGGTCAATTCATGTTGCATTATCCTGATATATCCTCTCTGCAAAATCTGATTGGTAGACTCTCCATTATGCATCTAATGTTATCCTGATATGGAAATTTCATTGGTCAATTACAAGTCACTTAATCCCTTTGGAAGACTTTAAATTTATTTTTCGATTCTCAATGGTTGATTTATTCTCATCTAGTCCTCAGTCACAAACCTTTTAGGCTGACATTGATTGGTTACTTACAGTGTATATACCGGCCTTTAAATCCAAACATCACATTTTTGTTCCAACTTTCATTAATTTGGTCAATTGTAGGACACTTATAGACAATGAATTTTAAATAGACTTTATGCCAATCAATTCCAACTTAATCCTGACTTGAACCTTTTAGGCCAATTTTGATCGGCCCATTATTTTATAATTTATATTGCAGATTTCTCAGTCTAATTGGGAACTTTTACAGCAGGGGATTTCGAGAACACTCGAAGCACTATATTTGGGTTTTGAAAACTACATGTACATGGGTATTGAAACACCTTATGGTATGTAATACTGAAAACACATTATACTGAAAAGGCACTGACAGAGTATGGGTGTTTTGAGAATATTTTACCAAAAAAGCACTGTGATTATTGGGGACTTAATGAAAACATTCCATATCAAAATGCACCTCATGTAGAAAAAGTTGATTTTAAACAGTCCATTTTGGAATGAGCTCAGATATAGACTGAAATATGTTGAATTTGCTCCCAAGCAAATGTCTGCCTTTCTAGTCTCCTATCGTTTCACAGGAAATATTTATGTTGATTTGAAGTGTATGAACATTACCCCCAAATGTGCACGTGGTTCTATTGTGGTTCAGCATAGGGAAAGATGGTATTGACATCGCTTTACAAACATGCACAGTGCAAGTCGCGCAAACAAATTTGTTGTAGTCTATGTGTGTTTGTGCATGTGTTTGTTTGTGTGTGTGTGTGTGTGTGTGTGTGTGTTCATGTTTCTGTGCATGTGTGTGATAAACTGTAGGTGTGTCACTCTGTGTGTGGCTGTGGCTGTAGATGTGTGTGTGTGTGTGTGTTAATTAGTATGTGTGTGTGTCAGACTGTGTACATGTGTGTGTGTGTGTGTCTGTGTGTACATCATACAGTGTACGTCCTTATTGTGTGCCTGACGTGTGTACATGTTTTTCTCACATTGTTTGTTTCCCTGTGTGCACAAGCATGTACACAATGTATATGTATATGATTGTGCATGTGCTGGGATCAGAACACACTCCACACCAATACAACTTTACAAGAGCCCATCCATCATCATCATCGGTCGACTATTGGTCAGGGTTATACCGCCCCTTACGGGGTCATATACCCTTTCATTAGCTTAATACAAGACAGGCAATGTCAGGCCTCCGTCCTGCTGATGATGTACATTTAACTCACCATCCATCACAATCCTGGGTAACAAATTTGAGGTTGAACCTAAACTCACAAAAGAGGCCTACAAAGTTAACGTATGAATCTGTGCAAGAAGTCCGGCCTACATTTGCAAATTGACCACAAGGGAATGGACTGAAAGCTAACTGGATTGAAAAATTATCAGATCAGCTGGAAGATTACCACCACCCAAGAAGGCTGATCCCAATAAAGGTCAAGTGAAATTCCATGGCTGCATGAAGGGAAATTTCTCGCACTGCGGGATATTTTCCCCTTCTAGCGTTCAAGAAATATTCTCTGACATTTTCCACTGCATGCATAATATATACATACAGGACACCCATGGAGGAGAGAGAGGAAGCAGAGCAATCTAGGTCTACTCCAAGTTCATCAGATGTTAGCACCTCACAGCCTGATGGATTGGTAGATTGTAAGGCAATCAAAAGATTATGAGCCGAGCCTGCCAAGCACAGGCTACTTTAATCTTCATCATTCCCTGATTGTGCCAGCCTGGCATATTCCAACTGCCCTCAGACACCTCAGCAGTGTGTGGAGCACTCAGGGTATACATACAGAACTCACTCCTGTATCACCTCTCCGACAAGATGTAGGAGGATTCACTAGATGGAAGTAAACACTGATGCAGTGCCTGGAGCGGTACTGATAACCTCTTTCACACACTCTGCTTCCTACCGGAGCTATGCATATTGGCAGATTCAGCTCAGTGCTTTGAGGTTAGAAGCAACGAAGGCATCGATGCTTAATGTGGAATGAATAGCACTGCCAGAAACACACTAATGACATGGAGGAATTCCTTGAATGGTGGAGAAGGAAGACAACAAAGTCTGTCTGTCTGCCTCACACATTAGATTTCACATACAGCTCCCACCAGGATGCTGCCATTGCAGGGCCTGAGTTATGATTCTACATACTATTAGATAAATGTTCCATTCAGAACAGTTGCAGCTTTCTGCTCATGATGTTGGAAATGAACAGTGGCCTACCTGCCCGCTGAGCATCTTCCTTCCCTCTCCGATTCCTCTGGCAGTTGGAACTCTGACACCCGGAATCACATCTAGAGGAAGCACTCCGGAATCACAGACGCACATTCCTAAGAATGTTTACAGCCTGGGCGGGTGCATGGAAATGCCAGGAGCTACATACACCACCAGCTCTGGAATCCCAGAGCACCTGGTGGCACATCCATAAACAGCACTCGTCCCACCGAGCTGTCAATCACCTGCACGGCAACACCTGCATGAATCATTCATCACCCTTCATGAATATTCATGAGGAGGGCTCCATGGTGGAAGTGATTGACAGGCCCATCAGGCTATGCCATGAATGTTAAAGCTAGTAAGCCGGCTCTATCTCTCATGCCCTGAAGGCATTTCCGAAAAGGGCATCCATTTTCTGCTGCTGCGCAGAGGAAGGAACAATATCACTTTTTTTACTGTCTTTCATGTGGTGTGAAGCATGCAAGAATTGTCCAACCCATGTGTCAATCACAAATGGGCCACACCCCTACAAGCATTCCACCTGGAATTTCATCCTTGCACAATCCATCCCTACAGAATTAATGGGTTTAGTGTAGCAAGGAAATCCCCAGGGGCAAATCAGCAGAATGGAGAAAGCAATCTGTGGCCACCGATAAAAGGGAAAAATAATAGAACTGTAACAATCCCTGCCTGTCATATTTATGTAGACTAAGTGCAGATGTTCCAGACAAGATTTCTTAATTGTGTTGTTTGATCTTCCACTGCACGACCAGATGAGATGAGATCATAGAAGACACCCAGCTCAGAGATGAACATATATATTATATATATATATATATATTATATATTATATACATGTATTGAAAGGTGACAACAGGAGGTGGTTGCAGTGGTTTTGGATGATTGTTGGTAGAATCTAAGGCTAGTCCCCCTACATTATATTTCACAAAACCTTATGAAAAATTGTAGTACATGTATTAAAGGTAAAGTTGCTACTGAGGGACCGTTCGAAATTTACCGGGGTGGGGGTGGGCGGTGCGTGGGAAGTCAGATCGAACAAAATTTAAACATTCAAACTCCCCCCCAAATTATTCAAAGTTGCTCGAAAATGACACAAAAAAACTGGTTATGCATCCTAGTTATCAAATAATAAATAAGAATTCATGTAATAAAAAAAGCTTAATAAACAATGAAATCCTCCAGTTATATGTGTTCAGGGCACGACGTAGTGAAGTATTCCTTCGGGAGCTCCCCGGTACAACACATGTATATCTACGGCGCCGCTGTGAGTGTGCCCGCCCCGCCAAGGATTATGGCATGGACCGGGATTGGTTTTTAAACCTACCTGATGGTCTGTTGGGCCTGCACTTTTCTCAGCAGAAACAATACCAGTAGGCTACAGAAACAGGCCATCGCGATGCGACGTTCCTACTGAGCAAATTATGGTGTATCTGGTGTGGTGTCCTCAAAGTACATGTATATTTCTGTCGGGCACGTGTGCAAAACATCAAAATATCAAAACTTGGAACACTTCTCGTAACAGCCACAAAATTTACAAACAATCTGTGCTATAGCGCTTTATATATTAAACTTGGGACTTTGGGACATAAACAATTTACACAAAGTTTAACATAATATAACACAGAGAAAATGACCCACCTCGAGGCTGTGGACTCGCCCGATCTTCACTTCAAGGCAAGAAAACAACAACAAGGTCGCCATCTTTTCTCGTATCTATAGTCTCCATAGAATTTTCCTTGACCCTCCCCCCTCCAAGCCATTTTTTCCTTGGCCCTCCCCCTGCGTGGCCCTTCTGATTTTTCCTTGGCCCTCCCCCCATACGCACCGGCCCTCCCCCCCCTCGGTAAATTTCGAACAGGTCCTTACTATGAAGTCATTTGAAATGGGTTTTACAGATCAGATCTGACCTTCCATCCTTACAAAAGCTGGACTGCTAGATCATAGTAGATGTACAATGTATACCAACAAATAGTACAGAAGGTACATGTATGTGATGGGAACAAGCAATGAGTGGACAAATAACTGACAGTATGGCTGCTTGTTTGTAGAGATGTCAGGCTGCAGAAATATGAAAATGAATTATAATATTTTACAAATCTATCAAAATGGTTAGACAAAAGTATCTGCTTTAGAATTGATTTTTTAAACAGCAGCTATGGGGCATGCAAAAGATCTGACCTGAAAGCAATTTGAAAGCACCATTATCCATTAAGTGCCTCCTGCCTTGTTGCAGAGATTTAGGTCAGCACAAGTGGCAACAGCAGGACAGTTTCTTGCACTTGAAAACAGAGTAAAACTGGTAGAAAGCTAATTAGAAGGTGTTTGAATATCTAGTCACATGTACATGAATGATTATTAAAGGAAATTTAAATGCATAAACTCAGTAGTCTGAGGAAAGATGGACATGTACATAAATTATAACATAATATATTTATTTTATATAATATATTTAAGATGTCATTTTACTGTAATTCTTGCAAGGCAGGACACTTACCTTCTAGAAAGTTTGAATCCTACGGGTGTCTTTTTAGCAAATGACCACAATTAGTACTCTAGGGCCATCCTCGTCATATGATCTGAAATTTTTGCTTTGGGCATGCCTACATTGTGCTCCTATTTGTTAATCCTAAGTTTGAAGCAAATTCATTGATGCCAAGGTATAAAAATTGAAGTTTTACTGACAGTTTTACTTCAATCTGCTGAATCAGTCTTTTTAGTGAATGACCACTTCTGTCTTTTTAGCAAATGACCAGTTCTCCCTGCAAAATATCGGCCCTGGCAGTGCATGGGTGCAAAATCCACCTCCACAAACATGTTCAAATAGGTCTCCACTAAATTTCTCTTAAGTCTCTATGCTTAACAAGCCTTTAAAAGTACATTTTTGGGGGCAAAATATACACCACACTCAGGTGTGATTTACTTGTAATTTACTCCTCATTTGTATGAGACATATACTGCCTTAAGTTGCTTAACAGCACAGAGGCAGCGGCCTGATTGAGCTGTATATTTTGCCCTAAAAGTACTTTAAGAGCCTACAAAGCATGGAAGTTTAGTAGAAGTTTAGAGGATACCTAATTTAACATGTTTGTGGTGGTGGATTTTGCCCCGGTTAAGCGAGGGCAGATATTTTTCAGGGAGAACAGGTCATTCACTAAAAAGACAGTAAACTGTCAACTTTGATAATTTTGCAGCAATGAATTTGCTTCAAACTTAGGATTAATTAATGGGAGCACAATCTGGACATGACCAAAGCAAAAAAAATTCAAATTTGTGTGACAAGGACGTCACCAGTTGGTCATTTGTGGTCATTCCCTAAAAAGACAATCCCAGAACCTTAAGGACTTATGGATTTTGTTTTCAATGTTTGTTTTAAATTATTGATTTTTGATAGGAACACTAAAAAATAAAACCGTGGTTTCAAAGACATGATAAAACAGCTTGAAGTATACTTGAGTACTTCTTGCCTTTTGATACATACCGGTAGCACCAAATCTGCACAGTCATGCAATGTTCTTGAGCAGACACTATCGGAGTGTTTGAATGATGTACCTGTATGATTGATAGGTTTATCACAAATTCTTACTTTGTGAACAGTTGCTACGATACCTCATGTGTGAGCACGTGCACTGTTCATCAGTTCCACCATCTGACTCATGATCATCCACCCAAACTAACAATGTCCCATGCAAGTCATCTATTGCTGATTTCCATGGTGATCTTGGTGTAATCTATGGGAAATGAATGTTGTAACAATGACTATCACCTTCAGAAAGGGTTAATGGAAAAAGGAGTCCAGTCCGATTGGCGGAAAAAGCAGTCCAGTCCAATTTGGGAGTGGAAAAAGCAGTCCGGTGGTTTCTACGAAAATCTACAAAAGACCATAGGTCCATTTTTTTTCTTGTGTGTGTACTTCGAGTTTCTATGGGTAGTTTGAGCTTCTATGAGCTTCTATGAGTTTCTGTGAGCACTTAGAGTTTGTATGGGAACTTAGAGTTTATATCGAACTTAGAGTTTATATGCATGGGTACTAGTACTTAGAGTTTCTGTAAGCACTTAAGAGTTTGTATAGGAACTTAGTGTATGAGAATGTAGTGTTTGTATGGGAACTTCGAGTTTCTGTGTGCACTTAGAGTTTGTATAGGAACTTAATGCTCGTATGGGTTGTTTGTATGAGTATTTCAAGTTTCTATGGGTACTTCAATTTCTGTGTGACTTTCTGGAGGCTGGCTGATGACAATACCTTATAAGTTACATATTCCTGTTTACCTTTCTAGGCAACTAAATTTTATTTTAAAGCTATTAAAAAGATGATATACTTTCACCTTCGAAAGTTTTTTCTGCTCACAATGTTCAACATGTTTGTTAATACATGAAATTAAATTCTGGCTTAGAGTACTTATAGAAACTCGAAGTACTCATAGAAACTCGAAGTACCCATAGAAACTCTTTAAGTACTCATAGAAACTTGGAGTACCCATAGAAACTCGAAGTACACATACAAGAGAAAATTGTACCTATGGTCTTTTGTAGATTTTTGTAGAAACCACCGGACTGCTTTTTCCACCCCCAAATTGGACTGGACTATTTTTTCCGCCAATCGGACTGGACTCCTTTTTCCATTAACCCCCTCAGAAAGGATGGATGATCAAGCTATCTGGACGTACATGTACCGTATGTAGGGGTAACAGATCAGGGAAAGGCAAGGCTGAGATTTAGTCTTGTTGAAAATTATCTAGGCTTTGTCAAATATATAATAAGGGTAAAGTTATTGGCGAACGGGTTTGTTTCTGACAATCTTGGTAGGTCAAAGACATTTTGTAGTCCCAAATGGCTGGCTGTGGCTATACTTTATATTCTGGAGAGAGGTGAAGAAAACTGGTTGCACAATGAATTGTTACTCAAGCAACTGGATAATTAGGTGTTAAGAATTGACAGATGTTTCAAATAGCATCTACATGTAACTAGGGGAATTTGTAATTCGGCGCTTTATTTGTTGAGTTTGGTAATTGTGAAATTGGGAATTTAGATTGGTAACCAACTTTACCACGCCTGAAAAACTACAATACCAAGGTTTTTCGGTGAATTCAAAAACTATTTGCTCATCTATATTGCTTAAAATGATAACCGAGCAATAGGGAGCGAAACATGGCGTGACAACCATGCAATTCCAGTGATTTACTGCGCACTAACATGAACCCTGCTCAGACTTAAACTCTGACCCGGAACCATCTATGGCAGGTGGAACATCAACAGATACCAATTATGCAAATAATGACCTAATTTGCATAATTGATGTGGAAATTCTATGATTCATTAATGGTGAATGGTGGGAATTTTATACCTTGTGACATGTGCAGGTTAACATCACTACGTATACATTGCAACTTCATCACAAATTGTATCTTCGTTGTCAGGAATAAATTTTAGCAATACTGTGGAAAGGATCACCAATTAACCTCTCTGTGTATTGAAAAAGCCCTTCCTTGGAAAAATTGATGTTCCTGAGTGAGTGAGTACATATGAGTGAGAAAGTCAAAGACCTCTGCAGCAGCAGTACATTTTCTGTTATATTTTGTTCAGGTTTTTAGAGAGGTAAATTACAACCAAATTCAAGCAACATGTATCAAGGTTTGGTTGTTTTAAACAGTAACAAGTCCTACCTTTCACAAGATATCCTTTACCTTAGGCCACACCAATTTAATTTCTTGGTGAACAAATTTTTCTAGAAAAATAATGGAGAAAAAATAAATAACAAATTATAGATTATTCCCCCTGATTGTGCAAATAGGATCCTCATTTCCATGAATTATATCATTTATCATATTCTCAACCAAAAGACAGTCTTATATTAACAAACAGTGCCATTCTATTATTTCCTCATAAATTATGCAAATAAGGTCCTGATTTGAATGCATTATGTTTAATGATGTTCACCTTCACTGAACTTTCAAATACCACAAGTATGAAATTCCAGGCAGTTATCATTACATAATTATAAAATTTTATCATTAATTATGAAAATTAAGTCTTCATTTACATAATCAATATATGCCTGTGTTCCTCTCGTTGTCAATTACCAATGTCACAAGCTTCAATAGTCTTTTCATGGATGCAGCTGACTTATAGAACTTCCCCATAAATTATGCAAATCACATCCATATTTGCATAATTGTCACATTATTGTATCAAGCATCACGTATGCTACCAAAGCATACCAAAAATCATATTTTGGATATTTTCAAACAGATAGTTTTTTCATGTAGCCCTATAGCTCCAGAGAAAGCTGCTAGGGGGCCCAAGCTCATGTCACTTCTTCCCCAGCACAAGAGCTACTTACCATTTAAATTTCGTCACCCTAGCATGTCTAGATCATGAGATATCAAAACCGGAAGTTCAGCTGCAGTACTATAGCAAGCCACAAGGGGGTCCAAAATCTAATAATTTCTAGGTCTCATAAAGACCTACCCACCTACCAAGTATCAAGACAATCCATGAAGACCTTCTTAAGTTATCGTGTTTACAGACGGACGGATACACACACACATACAAAATGCACATGAATGCCTCTGAAAACATAACTTTCTTGGCGAAGGTAATAAAAACAGGCCTAGTCATCCTACATTGTATTATGGCCCAAAATGGCATGATAGGAGCCATGAAGCCATCAAAATTTAAACAATGAATTTTGAACTTTTAATGATACCACTGCATTGAAGGATGGAATAACTGTAACAACTAGGAAGAAACGGACCGTTTTCAACTGTTCAGGGCAAAATATGAGCATTTTGCAGTAACTGTTGATTCTGAATTTTTGCAAATCAGAAAAAAATGAAGTGGGCGAATCCGTTAACAAAGAAATTAAATTGGTGTGGCCTTAGGTGTATTTATCTCCTACGTGTAGAATTTTGCACAGCACTATTACGCTGATTACCACCTTCCACATGGACAAACTCAACCTGGGCTTCTTTACTGCAAATTGGTATTTTACAAGGATTTCTTTCACTGCACTTTTTGTGGTAGGGTGATGTCCATTGTGCCCAGGGATCCAATATATCCTGAAGGCAGCATGTCTTCACCAGTAATTATGATGCTGTACATGTCAAATTACGTTTGATGTTCAAGTCATGGATGCATTTGGACAGTCACAAATGTTACTGTTCAATAACTATAATACTTCTCCACTGGTTAAACTGTCAGGCTTTTATGATATGTCAGAAATGAGCCCAAAAGTGAAAGATGATTTTTGGACAGTTAATTTTGATGGTGATTGCCAATTGCATACTTTGAAACTTTAAAACATTCTTATAGTTGTTTAAAACATTCATATGGTCATGACATTGCTGGATTTACTAGTAATTCTTCCCAATTTTTTGTAAAGCAATTCTTCCCAATTTTTTGTGAAGCAAAAAACATCGACTCACAGAGATACATTTTGTATGAATGCCTATTACAAAGTAAAGATATCCACAATCCACATCCTGCGCTAAAACCTTCCAGATGTACGATTTCTAAAATATGACCATTTGAGTCACTGACTCATCACTGTATATTTCGACACCAGCCTAAATAAGGACTATTAACTGGCCAATAACATCTCTACAATCTTTGCCATTATTTAAAATGGCCTGGTTGCATTTGAAGCTATTTTGCAAGGGCATTTTCAAAAACTAATTCAATATCCATACAGCAGCAAAGGTCCATTTGTAGAAAATAGGCAGAGATCAGGAAGGTTGTTTGGTTGTAATAGCTTCAGTGTTTATTGGACATAAAGCAGTTTTACTGGGTGGCATAATGGACAGTTCATTGTCCTTATGGAGTCATAGAGTCGATGTTGTACTCCGGAAGGAATCTGGCATGAAAGCTCAATTACATTTAATATTTCTTTATTGTTATATGGTTCCTTTTATGTTATGAACATACATGCAATATTTGTAGGAAGGTGGTCTTTGTCCAAAAGGGTTGTAAAGTTTGTTGCATCGTAGAAGCAATATAAGCCGGCATTTGGTCCTTTCTATCACCTGTGTACAGATCATGACTGTGCATGCTTGGGGTCATTTAAGTTCATGGCCTGGAATTTTAGCCTCAAGATAGACCAATCCGGAATGAACACATTAAATCCCTCGCATATTCCATTTCGAACACCTCCGTCAAAATCAGCGGTTTTGCTGCCCAACTTTAGTGTCAAACTTTCAGCAGTGAAAAACTCTCTCAGTGTTCTAAAAGAAAATGGTTATCACATCCACAGTAGAATTTTTTTAGGAAGGGGCAGACGTAGTTTCAGTGAGAGCAGATTCTGAAGTTTTTGCTCAATGCAGACGCAGGAGTCGCTGCATAACATCACACTCATGATGTGCTGTTGAACTTGACAGTTGATTTGGACAGAGACCTTGAACCACCTTTTGAGATGCTTTAATCTGGAAGGGTTAGTACGTAGCTAGTACAATGTAATGGTACAAACGTGTAGTACCTGTTTTAGGTGCAGCCAAAGAGCATTGCTTTGCACTTGCTGAATCAGATGTTTAGTGTGAGTCTGTTTGTTTTAAGCCACTTTTGAATGCTCTGAAGGTCTGCATTCAATGCTTGTGAACATCAAAGTAGCCTGGGTGCCATCCAAATTTGTAACGGCTACCCCGATTTGTTTGGGGTAGCCGTTAGAAATTCGGATGGCACCCAGGCTACATCAGAGACCAATTTAGCTGCAAAGAAGAGTGCAGTGTCGATCACTGGCATAAAGTAATCCCGGTATACATGTGTATGTGCATGGATGATCTGATCATAAATGTAAAGTCACTGTTCACCCTGTCGATTAAACTGTTGGTTGTGTGTTTCCGATTTAAAATTTGACAGGTATGAGTGCAGAACTTGGTGACAATACGGTGTCAAATGGTTTTGTAAGATCCAGGAAGACAACACCTGTCACTAGTCCATTGTCCATGTTACTCAAAATGGTAAAATGTTACAGGGTGAAACAGGCCCAAATTGATGCACACATGAGTCGTCCATAGTAGTAAGCAGCCTGTCCAAGGCTGTTCCAGCCATGGTAATAATTGATGATGAATCAGGTGGTGCAGAATTCTCACATTACGTTTGTTCATTGTCGAGCTGCTGTGGACAAATTGCAGATATTATACTGGCAGCCACGTCGCCATGTTTGGAGCAAATTGAAAGGGAATCAATAAAGGTTTCCCCAGTGTTGTTGTTTGTCAAGTTTCCTGGGAGGTTATAATATACACAGTTACATAGTAGCCCCACACTGAGGTTGGACACAAAATTTTGGGTCCAGGATTTTTCAAGAGGAATACTAGGCAGATGTTGGATTTGGTTCATACTCAGTCTACAAACATACAATGTATTTTAGTTCAACACTTATATAGGAAGATAATGCATATATGAAATACTGTAACTACACTTAATAATTTTTATTGGAAAATAATGCATATGAAATACTGTTGTAACAGCTTGTCCCTAAACAATGCAATTTTTTACCTTTCCTACATTTCATAATTAATTTTTCAAAAAGCGCTTACAAAATGTATGTCTAAACCATAATATGGAAAGCACACACTGGCTCACCCATTCACTGACACTAGGCCACCCAGGGGACCAGGGAAAAGTGGTATTGAACAGGTGGTTCCTTGAAGAGGGTCGGCAACAACACAATCTTTACATTCACGGAACCTTGAATTAAGATGGCTCAAAGTTTTGGGCAAATGAAAAATTTGCAACGTTCCCAAATTCGCGATTGATCAAATGCAAAACAATTTGCTGAGTGCTGTCATTAAAGAGTGATTAAAGAGAGAAATGTGTTCAAGGCACTGAAGTTCTTTAAAAAGACAACCGGCCGGATCCCTTTAATAACTTCCCAGACTAGGGAAATGATTTCTAGTGATTAAGTGAACATAATATATTCAAATCATGACCTCATTTGCATAATTTATGAGGAAGTGCTAGAATATCCTTTTTTTTTGTTAAGATAAGGCTGTCATTGCGTGGAGAATACGATTAACTGATATAATCCATGCAAATGAGGCTCTTATTTGCATAATCAAAGATTCAAGTTGTAAAATTCGTTAACCACAAGGGTTAATATCATTTGGCGAAGGTATGAGGTCGTGGAACTCTAGATCTTGTTTCTTATTTGATGAGTCCTCTTCTTGTCTATTCCTTCTCCATGACATTATGTGTCAACACAGTTGAATGTTAATGCTAATATTCCATGTTTTGTTGCTCTAGTTTCAGATACCAACTGGACTCTGCAGGCATTCCTGCTTCAGGTGCAGAACACGTCGCAGCTGCATGCTGAGGCAGATGCAACGCAGGCTCGTCTGGAGCAGCGCATGATCGAGCTGCAGACAAAGATGCTACAGCTGGAACAGGTGAGATACAATGTTTTTGTACAATGGATCATATGTATAATACTAGTAATCATCATCATATAGCCAGATGATGCTGACTAATCAGAACTACATAATTGTTATGATGGCAGGACCTCACCATTGCAATGCTGTTTAAATCCCATAAACACTCGGACTAATTGGTCATAGGAAATGACTTATGACACCATATACACCTCGGCGTGGGTCATTAACTCTAAATTGTAGTCTACTGTCTTCATTACAATGCATCTTTATGGGGTGATGGGTCAGGTATAACTTGTTTTGTTATTTCTTGTTCTTATCATCCTTCTATTAAGGCTGCTCAGAGGCTTAACACACCAATGAACTTTGATGGCAACACGACTGCCATATTGGAACCACCTGCAAGACATAAACCTGTGTTCTCTTCCATTGAAATGGATGCAAGGGTGGGACAGCTGGATGGCTCAGCTGTTTTAGTATATGGAGGAAACCATCAAACAGGTATCTAACATGCCCGTAGCCATTGAGGGTAAAGGTAACAAGGTAACAAGGCTCAAAGGTCCACTTTTTGGTCCACTTTTTATGTAAAGGTCCACTTTTTGGTCCACTTTTTATGTAAAGGTCCAATATTTTTCTTGAAATGATGGACTGGAATCGTAGAAAAACTGCTCCCTTTGTCATTGAATAAAAATTTATCTCTGATTTTTTCTTGGAAATCCTCTCAAAAATGCACGAAATGCCATTTTAGAAGGTTCATTTTTCAAAATTTTTTCAAGCAGTGGGTCACCCCCCATTCAAAATCCTGGCTACGGGCATGTCTAATGATGCTTAAACTCCTGGCAATGGAGAACTTTTTCTTCTTGAAGCTTTTTAAAAAATTGAGATAATCTTGCATCATTTCATAACACTCAAGTCTTGATGCTCATCAGGGGAATTTCTGCTGGTTGCTGTGGAGGATGAGCATGTGAGCTTCACCTTCCAAATGTCAGGAGAACAGCAAGAACCAATCAAAGTTGACTCCAACTTGAGATTGTGCAGTAACTGCTGGTACCATGTTCAAGCTACCAGGTCAGTACAATGTGTACTACAATCAAACTTGTCTAAACTCTAAGACGACCAAATAAACCTGCATGGGACCAAGGAAAATTGGTCTTCTTAAATATTAAGTGGTGTTCTTCCATGCATGCATGTACAAAAGCATGGCGCCATGCCAAAACAGAAAACAAGAAATACTGCTAAATTTCTACCCATTTTACAATAGACCCAGCCAGTGCCATTTCACGTGAATTTTGTACATTGCGCAAAGACTGTCATGCTGTCAAAGTTAATGACAAACTGGCTGATTCCATCAAGGTTTCGAGCTACAGTAGTTATAATTCAAAAAACGTTTTCCGCCACATGCTTTAAAATCATGTGGTCATCTTAGGCAGAGATTGGGCCATGTGAGAACCCAAATAGTGCCGGTTGTGGTCATGTTGGACGAGTGGTGGGCTTGAGCAAGTCCCTTAATGCAAGCAGCTTTCATCTACATGACATCTGACGTATTTTTGGGGCGTTAAATGTTTAGACAGGCTGATGAATGACCTCATTGGAAAGGCCTCAAACCATTTTTTTACATCCATGCTCAAACTAATTCCTGCCATCCAATTCAAACGCTCATTCATGTCTATGACCGCAGAAAGGAGGCCATAACACCGAGTATTGTTTCTAGATTTAAATGACAAAGTAGACAAACAAACATGAAACCCTATCCAGCTCATTATAGTTGCGTCAATAGCGCGATGGCGCACTCAGTAGCAGGTTAAATAACGCTGTAACGCATTTGTGCGACCGGGGATCAATTATCGCTGCGTTGCGACAGTGTTGCGTTATCTAAGTCTGTCAAATGTAATGCAAACATGACTGTAGTTCCAGTGCTTAATGTTTACATCTATGGAGACAGAAATCGGGACCGAGAAAAAGCGGTTGTTAAGGCCAGATAGCAAGCTTATAGAAGAGGTTACCTGACCAAATTTGACCATACTGGGTTTTCTGATCTTTTTATAACTCAAGAATGACAAATGAAAGTCAAGAAGGCATGCAAGCAATCAAGGATCTTTCATCAAAGCTCCTAGAAGCAATCAAGCAAAATCTTCAATACCTTTGCAAAAGATGGCCTCAGATTTTTAATTATCAAACAATTAGACCAGCTTATCAAAATGGCCTCCAAGAAGTGTCTCTGTAAGGACTACATGATGAGACAGGTAATTGGAATCTGCTTCCTGGTCCGGTCCGCATAAACTGCTGCCCAGTCCGGTGCGAGGCTGGTTATTGGGGTTTCCAGGTTGCATCCCCCTCGCTGCTGGCATTTTCCACACTATTTTTCTATGACAACATAATAACATTCTAGTAAACAAGTGCATAAATCAATGCGGAATTCGTAGTGTCTTTGGCGTTCAAACAAGCTGGAAGTGTACTGACTGAGCCGCCATGTAGATTTCTCACACATGATGCCAATTTACAGGGGACTGCCAGAGTATAGTGCTGCATACCGGTTCACTGGACTTGGATCCGGACTTGTAAGAAAGTTTAGGTTCAAGTCCAAAAAAACCTAAAAGTCAAGAACCGAGTCCGGACTTATTACCATAAAAGACCATTTCACATACCCCTTTTCTTTCCAAACCACCTAAAACCTTCCGTACATTGCAAAATCTTTGCTGCAAAATGAAGAAAACATTGCCATTGGGCATCGTCAAGTACCGGCCTCCATGTTATGTGGCCAAAGTTTCACCCAGACAACATTGCAGGGTTGCCAACATGCAATTTTGTATATGCCATGGGTTTAGGTCCGGACTTACAAGTCCGGAACTGAACCTAAACCTCTGGACTTGAACCTAAAATTGGGTTTAGGTATGCAGCACTACCAGAGTATACAGTGCAAATTTACGGAATACAGTGCAAGTTTACTAGTATACAGTGCAATTTTACGGAATACAGTTTACTAGTATACAGTGCAATTTTACGGAATACAGTTTACTAGTATACTGAGTGCAATTTTACGGAATACAGTGCAATCTTATTAGTATACAGTGCAACCGTATTAGTATACAGTGCAATTTTACGGAATACAGTGCAATTTTACTAATGACGTTGTTATGACGTAACCTGGGCCTGGCTTTCCAGGGCTGCCGCTGACAGAGCGTACTCAGGTCTTTCTGTGTTTTTTGAGTGAATTTGGACCGTTCTTTAGTAGATATACTTTTAGTCAAATCACTACATACTACACACGGCATGTTACTACACAGGGATAATTTCGAATTCGCTCGAAAAAGACAGAAATATGTGAGTCAGCGGCATCCGCCATCTTGAAACTCAAGGAAAGCAGGGTCCAAGTCACGTGATTCAACGTCATTAGTAAAATTGCACTGTATTCCGTAAAATTGCACTGTATGCTAGTAAAATTGCACTGTATTCTAATACGATTGCACTGTATTCCGTAAAGTTGCACTGTATTCTAATACAATTGCACTGTATTCCGTGAAATTGCACTGTATACTAGTAAAATTGCACTGTATTCCGTAAAATAAACAGTGCACTGTATACTCTGGCACCCCTGATTTAGCGTTTTCCCCATCAAATCAAAAACAGAACTCCCGCTAAAAAGAACCCAGGTGTAGTCTTTCTGATCCTAGGAACCATGTTTTCGTTTGAAATATTTGTGGATATGCAGGATGTGCCCCGTTTTCAGCCGTTTTTATGCTTCAGTGGGGTACGCACGCCCTGTGGCTGCTGGCACGCTAAAATTATCTTGGTGACACGCAGTTGACACAGCCAGCATTAATTGGTGTCTTATTATTTCGTTACTAACACTGAAGTACATGTATATGTGCATCCAATGACCAGTGGAACTTAACCATTCCCGTTATACTTAGTGAACCACCAGATGGTTAATACCAGCATTACTATGATTTGCTAAGGGGAAAGCATTGTGAAATGACAGACTGAGTGCATTCATATACATGTCAGTGGGAGGAGTACAAATTTACCTCATGTGGGGCGGGAAATTGCCGATACACACCGCTTGAACAGCAGAAGGAACTTTAATCTTGCCTCCATTTTACATGCGCATCAATAATTATTACATAAGAATTTTTTCCGCACTTACTTGCTCAGACAAGTGTTTCTATAGTTTGCAACCACACACAGAAAAGCTTGCTCTGCAGTATGCAATAATTATATATCTGAAACCCCCATAACCGCCCTCGGACCGGACCGGGTGGCAGTTTATGCAGACCGGACTGGGCAGCAGATTCGGATTACCCATGTAATTTAAAAGATCTTGGACAGATTTAGTTGTTGTTTTTTTCAGGTTCAGGAATGAGGGGATGTTGACAGTGACTGACCTGAACACACTGGCTGCGACCTCTGTACAGGCATCTGACCCTCAGGTCACAGGTACTGACCTGGCCTTGACCTCTGACCTTTATGTTGGAGGACCACCAGTTGGTTTTCAGGTAAAGATAATTAAGCTCTCATCTACTATCCTAGCCAGTTTGAGCAACAAAAAGGTGTCTTGGATCTGGTATTGTGCATTTTGTCAGGTTGAAGGCAATCACCAAGCAGATGTTTGGGTGAAAGGTTAACATCATGATGTTTTCTTGGACAATGGTACACCCCATTGCGCCAATAAGTTCCTACATCGTCAGTGCTTGTTAAAAGGGACACCATAGTCCATCTGTGGTTGTCCCGTCTGTATCCTCTTACTTGCTTGGAGATGTCTGTTAATCATTGCAGCTGCCAAATGCATGGCAACACATTTTATTGACAGTTGGATGCACATACAGTACAGCTCGCGTTATAGTTTCCAACTCTGACAACCGCGAACGCGGCATTGACGCGATAAGACCGCGTTCCGCATGCGTTAATGAAGGTGTGAAACGCGTTTGGGTTTCAACTATAACGCGTTCGCCCAGGCGTCAGGGTTTGAGGGAAACGCGTTTTCATAGGTATTCATATGCACGGGGCGGTAAGATCAAAGAGAAGTAGGAGGGGTACTGATTAACCCCACGCAGGGCGGGAAATGCCTGGACTCAAGACAACGTCAAAATTTTACGATCTTCTGTGACAAGATCTGCACGGCTGCTGTGGCAATACCGCGGCGTGTAGTATCAAGGGTGCCCGTATCTGGAGCCGTTTGTACAAAGTATAGCAGGTTAAGGCCTGCGAAAAAATAACGTTTCGTGTCGTTTCATAGTAGCATAAATTCCAGAATAAAGCACGCATGTTTTGAAACTTTCCAAAATGTCAAAGTCGGGGTGCGTACTTAATTTCTGGCGGTTTCCCTGAAATCCGCCGACGTCGCAGGAATATAGCGAACACCGGCAAGTGGAACGACATCGATTCGTTCATAGCATGTTTAGATAAGAATGTTGAAGAGTGGAAATAAAGTTATCTTGAATAAATGAGCATCTTTCCGTTGGGTATCGTCGATATTGACACCAAGTTTCGTTAAAATAAAGTCAAGTGACACATGGTAAGAAATGTAGGTCACTCACGTCCCGAGCGCAAGATGGTTCGCCAGCCAGCCGGCGCCGATCTCAGAAGAAACCGGCAGAAAATAACTCATCGACCCCGTAAGTATCCGTAAGTATATACACAATTGTAAGAGGGTTTATGAGTGGTAAGATTTGAAATGCAAGCCGTGAACGTTCTTGATCGTCGTAACGTGACATAAATAAACGTAAGTTGACATTACCACCGTTACATAACATTCAGTGAGTGTGCATGGTCAGTTTTAATGCACTTACGGACTCGGACGAGTTGAACAAAGACATCTTCAACAAAGACGACATCCATGCTGTTACAAAGGTTCGGTTGACAGAAATTGTTTCATTACGTACCACAAATATCTTAAAATCTTGATAAATGCCACGTTGTAGCGGGGCTATACCAGTCTGTACTACGTGAAACTTGCTGGGTAGATTGTAACGTTACACGGCATGGGATGTTGCAATGATTGGGGCGGAGTTTAAAATCTACTCTTGTGAAACCTCCTGCCGCCCGGCCAGTGGGCGGGGTCCGATCTCTGCCTTGGTAGGCGTGACGCCACTCTGTCTAGCTCGCTGAGCACGTGCTGGCCACGCATCGTGGGAACCAGCGGCGGGAAGCTTTGCAGATCTTTCCATGCTGGGGAGTTTTATTCCTTTGATTCTGTGACATAAGCATTACTTTGTACGAGATATTTTGAAACCTTTTCACTCTCTCACGTTCAGAATCGCAAGTGGGGGTACAGTTAGCCTTTTTGTTGTTGCTTTGGTTTCGGTGTCAAATTTTAAATACTTCCCCGCCTCAATGATTGTTGTCCAATTAGCTTAGAACTGTCGGCGCCTTTCGTAAAGAACAACAAAGCTACGTACTGCGTTAACATTTAAATGCCCCCCCCCCACCGATAAAACCAACATTGTAATATTGTCTTCTTTTTTTCAAACATCTTTTACCATTGCTGACTTGATCGCCGACACTCTCCAAAGCTGTACTTTTCGCTGCACTTGCCTTACCTTTCGATGCGGTGGTAATGTCTTGCGAGCCGGCTGTGGCCCGCGATGAACGTAGAACAGCCGAAAAGTTTCCCGCTACAATACTAGTATAAAGTTATAATAAACGAGTTACCAACAATCGCTTAGCACACGGCCGTTTTTCTTGATTACTTCAATGAACTATATGGTAATCAACTACAAATTTTATTATCGAATAAGCTGATTGTTTTGTGTGCCAGTATATGTTTTGTCAGTATCATTTATTAACAGAATTAAATGTACATGTATGCAAAATACACCAGCTCTCCATAGTAATCAGAGAAAGAATTAATTATTATTTTTTTTAATACAGGTGATGTCGACCTTTTAGAAGAGAAGGTTTTGGATGGGAACAGGACCTACACATGTGTATGTAACATCGATACCGGCCCC